GGGAACCACTGTGCTGAATGCTGGGATGATTACCTCCTGCCAATAGCCTTTTGGAACATCCCAGGGTCCTGACTTGGACTGAGTCAAGTTGATGTGAGTCAGCACGTGTTGGTCAAGTTCCTGGCAGGCCTGTGAAGGCCATGTCACACTGACCTAGGTCCTGCCCCATGGACACGCAAGCTGGGACACACCAAAGCAACTCTTGACAGCAAGGAAGAGCCCAGAACTAGAAGAGGCTTCAGAAATATGGCTCCAGTCTCACTGCAGGGCACTGAGCAGGAAGAGCACTGTCCAGCACGGAAACACAGCACAGTAGTCTGGACGGCCGCCTCAGGAATTCTGCCACCCACAGGGAGGTGGTGGTGACCCCAACACCTGGGCCCAGCCTCCCTGTGCAAGTGACCCACTTAGGTCTCTCCTGGCAATTTGCAAGAGCTTCCGGGAAGGGCGCCAAGAGACGTGAGGCAATTGTCTGCTCCACTGGAGGGAGCTGAGCCTTGCTTTGCACAAACAGATCAATAGTCTGTGTTTCTGATAGGTGAACTTGACAAATGAGACTAAACTGACATTGCATGATGGGTACGAACCCAAACCAGAATCCAAACCCAAACCCACAAATAGAAAACAGAAAACCCAAGAACAGGCTCTTAAGTACTGTCAACCAGTCCAAGACCTTAGGTAGAATTGATAGCCTGAATCTCCTGTTTCCTAATCTAGGAATTGAGCCATCTTCTTTGGGGTCAGTCTGGGATGGAATCAGATGGGAGGAAGACATGCTAGAATCGGCTCATCAACATTCACTCAACACCTACTATGATTCAGACAATGTGCTGGCCTCAGGGTACAGAGATATGAGACACAGTCCCCTCTCAAAGAATTTATATTCTAGTGGAGAAGACAGAGTTAATAAATAATATAGGTATAGTTGTAAGATCGATCCCCTATCCACGCCATTAGAAGAGCACGTGGCGTATGTATGCATCTATGTTTTCATGGCTGATTCATCCAGCAAAGGCTTCTCTGAGACTCTGAGCTGGGCATGCAAGCAGGGACAGGAAACTAAGTTACACTGTCAGATTCTCACAAGAACAATAGGGGGTGCTGTTGGGGCTCCACAGCCTCACGACTGACTCAAATTTTCTGTACACCAGTGCCAGACAGGATTTACACCAGGAAGGGGAGCCTTTGTCTATAAGGGTTACTGAGGTGCGTTCATGTGCTGTGCCCCAGGACAGCTTCTCTGAGTGACCTCAGAACAACATTAAAAGTTGGTCACCACAGGGAGGAGAGGGGTGGTAGAAGGGGGTAAACGGGGTCAAATATATGGTGATGGAAGGAGAACTGACTCTGGGCAGTGAACACACAATGTGATATATAGATGATATATTACAGAATTGTACACTTGAAACCTATGTGATTTTACTAACCATTGTCACCCCAATAAATTTAATTTAAAAAAAAGACGTTGGTCACCACAAACACAATCCTTAGCCCCTGTACTATCCCAGCTAAGAGAGTTTAAGATTTCAAAACCAGCACTTATAAAATACCTAGTACATACAAAAGCATCGTCGAGTACTGTGTACTAGACCGGGAGCTCCTTTCCAGCAGACCAGGTGTGGGGAGCCTGCGTGACATCCCAGTATCTCCAAAGGCTAAGGCTAGGGTTTACATTCTCCCCCTGCTAAGCCTCAGCCTCCCAGCACTGTCTTCAATGCAAATGATCCCCTGTTACTCCAGAGAAAGGTGACTGGTTCTCTCCCAGTTGGACTTGAGCTTTTTTCTAGTCCTCACTCCCGTCCTCACCCTGGATCCTCAGGCTCTCCTGATACTGGATGATGAAGTACTCTTGAGTCTGCTGCAACTTCTTCAGTTCATTCTCTGTGTCCTGCGTGACCAGTCGCAGCTCCTCAAAAGTCTGGTTGATCTGAAGTTGTTTCTGGGACAGGGTGTCAGCAAGGCTTCCAAGTGGAGAGGTACCCTGGAGACAGATGGGGGAGTGCAGGCAGCAGTGAGGTGGGCGGGGAGGATGGGAGAAAACCTCAGGCCTGAATCCCAAGGAAGAGCCAACGGAGCACCTCTAACTGGGCTGAAACCCCAAAAGCTAAAGTTTGGGTCAGAGGAATTACAAATGTCATTTGTGAGAACTAGTGTAGAGGGAAAGGAGGAGAAACAGGTGACCTGGCACCTTCACAAAGCATAGCAGAAACTTCTCCTGCAGTTCTGGCCTCCACCAGAGTATTCCAAACAGGGTCCATCCAATTCCCTTCAGAGACACTAAAACCCCTCATGTCCAGGAGTCACCTGAGTTTTCCTACTAATGGTGATGACCCCTCATTCCACATTCTTTCGCGAATCCCACGCCACGGACTAGGCTAGGTGCTGGGGACAGAGTGGGGAACAAGGCTTGGGGAACACACATCATCTGTGTCCTCACTCAAGACCTTCTTGTGATGGAGGGAAGAAGGTGAGCCTTTCACAAGTGGCAGCACCCTGGAGACCCCAAAATGAAGTTACAGGGGAGGCATCGACAAGGTCTTTGTGGATCCAGCCATTTAAATGACCTGGTCTGATCCATCCTTCCCACACCTGTCCGAGACGGGGCTAAGCAGAAGTCTTTCCTAAGTAATCTCACCTGAATACAAAAAGGACTTCACTCAAAAATTATTCACTTGGGGTTAACTTAGTTTGCACTTGTTCACATTGTTTCGTGGTTGCAATCTCATCAAGGTTATAAATCAGTAAAGATCAGAGGACAGTCTTCTATTTCTTTTGTGCCCCTGAGGACAATGCTGTTTATAGGGACACCAATAGATACACACGGAGTCATCATGACAAAACTGGGTCCAGAGAGAAGTGGGCGAGAAAGGCCTTCCCAACTCCTCTCCCCATACCCATGGGACACTTACATTGTTGGCTTCCCGGACCAGCCTCTGCTCATTGTACAGAATGTGCCGGATGCAGCGGACCAGCTCCATGGGGCAGCGGTCATACGTGTTCTGAAAGAATCCAAGAGCAGACATCACTTTGTCACACTCCAGGCTACGGGCCTAAACCCACCTTGGAAGACACTTCTGGGACACAATGGTGTAACCGTGAGAAATGCTGCTCCTTTGGTATCAATGAGGGACAAGAAAAGCACATCATAGGAAACCCAACCACAGTCAGAAGGTAAGATTATTTTCTTTCTTGCATCCTAATTTGCCTAAAGTACTAGGGCACTATTTTTGGAAACAAGATAAATTTCAAAAAGGCCACTTCAGAGGAGAAACTAGACGCTACCTGGACTGGACTACCAAAATTACTTCCACCAGTGAAAGGGAGATAGACATTCATTGTATGTCTCCAGTTGTGACACCCTGAGGACACAACATCACTTTTTTAGAATTCTGATCAGGGATGTGTAACCTAAATCAAATCATGAGGAAACTTTACACAAACCCAAAAAGGGGGTATGTTTTATCTTTAAAAAGTAGAGGAGCTGAATTACTTTAAAATGTCATTGTAATGACAGACAAAGAAGGGTTGAGAAGTGATTCCAGGTTAAAGAAAATTTAAGAGACATAACAACTAGATGTGATGTATGATCTTGGACAGGATCACTGCCTGGGGTGAAGGGCATTAAGTCAGTTGACAAAATGGAAATACAGACATAAGGTTACCTAAAAGTGTTCTATCAATGTTAAATTTACTAAATATCATAACTGTACTGTACTATAACTATGTAAGAGAAGGTTCATCTTCTTTGAAAATGGACATCGACGTACTTAGGGGCAAAGGGATGTGATGTGTGCAACTTAACTTAATCTCAAGTGATGAAAAAATGTGTGTGTGTAGAGAGCATCTGATAAGGCAAATGTCAACAATAGGTGAATCTGGACAAATGTCGGGGCTCTTTGTATCCATCTTGCAACTTTCTGTAAATTTGAAGTTATTGTCAAATACCAAGTCTAAAAAAGCCTACAGCCACTGAAACCAAACAATAAGAATTATACATGTAACATGTACCTCAGTAACGCTGGGCTGAAGAAAGGAAAGAAAATCTCTACGGGAAGTACTAAATGAAGGACGAGTCCCTCCCAGGGAGGAGGACTAAATGTGACCCAGAGTTCACACCCACCTGGAGCTGCGTGGCATAGTGCCCCAGCTTGATCTTCAGTAAGAACCCATCTTCCCCCACTTGGTGCTCCGCCTTCTTCTGCAGCTCCTGCACCAGGCCCTCCAGGAGCTGGGTGGCCTTAATGTTCTCCTGTGGATTATCAAGATCTATTGAGTCCCTAGGGGAAAAAAATTACATACATATGTATACAGACATGCACATGAGCCTGTATAAATGCAGCCTCAACGCATCACACCTTTTCTTCGGCTAACGTGATTTCCGCGTAATGCTCACTGCAAATTTTAGGAAATGGTTCAATTCAAATTGACTAGACGCCTCTATTAATCTACCCCTAATCCACTAACTACCTCCATAGACTGTACAGTAAGTAGTACATTTTCTGTTTTTTTTTTGTTTTTTTTGTTTTTTTTTTTTTACAATGCACTGCCTTTTCTCCTTTCCCCTACTGACTTGCTCTGGTGCTTGTGCTATCGGTCTCTAGGAAGGAAGGGAAAGGGAAAGTGCTTTGTGTACATTGGAGGAACTAAGGACTCATAATTTCCTGTTTATAGTTGCCCCCTCAAGAGTGTAAGGGGCATACGGTCAAGACTGTTCTGCTTGTTTTTTTCCAGCCTCAACTCCTTCTGTGTGTTGCTAATTTCAATTAGAGAATTTCTTAAGTAAAGACAGGTGAAACATTTATTGCTATTTATAAGGAGCCCCGGAAATGAGATACTAAGACAGAAGATGCCTGCACGATTTGGGACTTGTAGGCAACACTAACTCTTCTGGGGAACTAGAGAAACCATTCTATGGACCTTGTATTAATTCAGAACCATTTAACGGGCTGGATGGCCTCCCTTCCTTTCTCCCTTCCTTCCTTCTTCCCCCATTCTTAACTTCCCTTCCCGATTCTCTGTCTTTCGTTATTTTAACAACTTAGGCAACAATTGCTATTGGGCAGTACTGTATTACTCAGCTCACTGAAGAAATCAAACAGCTGTCAGATTGAAATACCAATTAATTACTGCTGCCCAGGTCTGGAGCCAAAGAAGGGATCTGGTGGAAGCTAACAGGCGCTGTCGTCTCTACCCCCTGGAGTCATTTAGCCACTAATTTCAGAACACTGATAACAGACTTCATCAAATAATATGCTCACATCTGCACTTGGAGAAGGCAGTAGAGAAAGCCACATTCTAAACGTGTATGCTCTGGGTACTAAATACGATATGTGTTAAATAAAAGCCTGGAGGAATGAGAGGAGGCCCTACACTTCTGTTTTGAATGGCAGTAATGCTCCTAGTCCGAGGAACCCATTCCTGAGAAGATCCAGTCTCTGAGCAAAACTCATGGAAACCAAGTACTGGTTCTTGTACTTAATTCTCTGCTAAGAAAAAAAAAAAAAGATTTTCTTAACATAGACATGAAGAACTGAAGATTTTTTATTAAAATTTTTATATTCTTAAGAAAGCACAAACTAAATAAAATTCTAGACTTATCAGGGTGATCACTTCATAAGTCATATAAATGTCTAATCACTATGTTGTACACCTGAAACCAATGTAAATATTGTATGGCACTGTAATTGAAAAAAAAAATTTTAATCTAACAAAATTCAGATTTCCCTTAATAGCAACACAAGTTTTTTAATATTTGTTCAGTAAGAAGACTAAATGGGACATCTACTAAATGAAAATCTAAATCAACAGAAACTTCCTACTAATGTTTTTCTGAATTCTCCAAATCATTAAAACGGAAAAGAAAATGAAGAGGAAATGGAAAAGCACCAAGCAAGGGGCAACTGACATGCTTACATTTAGCTCCTTTTTTTTCTCAGTTAATTACACGAGGCTGAGATTTTTTTAATTGCCTAGAAAATTGCCTTCCTTTGGTGCTCTCTAGTTCCTGGAGAGAAATCTACTACTGACACACAACTGCAATTATTCCAAGGCAACATTACTGACGGGTACACAGCCCTCCTCAAACGGTAGCATAAAGGCTGTCTGCTCCTGGGCTCTGTCTACTCACGACGGTCTCTGATGAATTTGTCAGATCAGACTGACAGACATTCCCAAGCCCTGAGCAGAGCTGGCGTCCCAGGCCCTGAGCAGAGCAACTAGCTGACAGCCTGCCGCCTGGTGTGCAATAATGTCAATTAAACAGCTTTCTAATCAGTCTACTGCATTGTACTAACTCTAAAAGAGTTTAAAAACAATCCCCCTGCCCTGAATATATAAACCGTAATTTGGAAAAGAAAAATAAACATGCTTGTTAAATCTGCCACTGAGATGTAATTATCGTTATTTTGGTATATCATCTTATAGTCTTTATGTATATGTAAATTACGTATAAATTAAAAAACACCACTGTCTCTATTGTTAAGTTTGTTAACAAAACATTTTATTAAATTATGTGCATAGACATAGCTGCCCCATTCAGCACTAAATTCTACGCGGACAAAGGTTTTAATTTTTTCCACGAACTCCGCTACTGACCACACTGCTAGGCACCCTATAAACACTCAAAGCATCCTTGTTTTGTTTTTATTAGCAGCAATGCTCTAGTATTTTTAGCCAGAATTAACTATTGAAGGGAAGAAATCCTATTTTAAAAATCCCAAGAGTCATTCCATCTTCCCAAAATCAAAGATGGGGTTAAATACCTTTTCATAGGTCAAATAACTTTTTTTTTTTTCTTAAAGATACAAGTTTTGGAGTCTCCATGATGTTAACTTTCCAACCAAAGTTCAATATGCGGTGCTTCATGAAATATGATAGAGGAAACTCTGGCTCACTTACCAAGCTTGGCTTTCAATCCATTGGGATAAGTAATGGCGCACCTCAATAGGGAAATGCTGGCCGTACAGTGCTTGCATCTGGTGAAGGGCATCCCCCTGCAGCTGCTGGGCTTGGATCCACACAGCCATGTTCACAGTCTGCTAAACAAACAATCAGTGGTTTGGGTGTTCGTTTGTCTTTCCTTCCCCTTTTAAATCCACTCAAGTTGATATTCACACAGTTATAAAAGCTAAAGATAAATGCTTTTAAGCCCTTTTGGGTAGACTGAAGATCAGTATTCCTAAACTGCATTTTAGCTCTAAAATGTTTTCAAAATATAGATGAGTGTATTATCACTAGTTACCTAAGCAACAATGCTTTGCACACACAGGGCACAGATTTATCTGGAAAAATACCCCAAGGTTCACCTTCTGAGTTATTGCTAAGGAATTTATGAAGCAATGTTCTGTTAAATTATAGCCTTTAAAAATCTTTCTGACGTAAAAACAGTACATCTCAGCTACGAGTCAGAAACAAAAGCCATTATATTCTAATAGTGGGTAGAATTAAAACACGCCCTTGATTTCAGAAAAACGGTTTTATAAAACTACCATGATGTCTTCTCAGACCCACCCAAGAGTTTTCAATTCATTAGGCAGAAACTCTCTGGGCTTAACAAGATTGTGGCGGCAACATTACTTTCATCTACACAGAAGGGTTCTAACTTGCTCTAACACTCTGATCCATAATGTAGAATTTGGTAGAAAGCAGAGCTATCTTGAATCCCATCTAAAACAATCTGGCTACTGATTTGCACAATTCTCCCAAGAGCTATGCTACAATTAGGGTCCAGTGAATTAGACCTTGATTTTGTTGAATACCAGACTACATATGTGTGTTAGGAAACAAAAATCCAATCTGTTAGTTGTCCGATTGTATAACACTGAGCTATTTATGGAACAAGTCAGTTAGCCAACAATGAGGTGTGGGGTGGGTGCCAGTTACCTATTTTAGACTTGTGCAATGCTATAGAACACTTGAGTAGTGTACAATCTTATTTAGGGCTTTGGGGCATTAAGGCTGGGGTCACTGTAAGATCACCTAAGATATCAAATTTCAATGGCTGTGAGTTTACTGGGAGAAAGACTTGGATATAAGAGCTCTCTTCAGAAGCAATTCCACTTATAATCAAACATCTGGAAGACATTTAATTGTACAACATAATTTTTAATCAAATCTCTAATCTCAAGATTTTGGAAGTTTGGAACAGATACCATAGCATTTTTTCCTTTTTTTTTTTTTGGATGAAAGGTAGAGGGATGGATGGATGGATGGATGAATGGAGGGAGGTGCTTAGGCATTTATACCTATAGAAGAACGAAAAAGGAATGAAGAAAAGAATGCAGGTACTAATTTTTTTTTCTGTTTTAACGTATTTATTGACTTTTTTTCTGAACATGAAAATGTTTCAAGTCTACTACAGAAAATCTGGAAAAGCACAGAAAAATGCAAGGAAGAAACTAAAACTCAAATATGATTCTGCACCCAATGAAAACTTACAAACATTTTGGTTTTCCTTCCAATCTTTTCCTAACACATATTTTAACACAACTGAGATCACATTATATGTAAAGATTTTGTTTTTTGGGGTGGGGCTACAGAATAAGCATTTATTGTCAGAGCACCAGTGATCTGAGAAGGCAGTAGGTTAACACCTTCAAAAACTGCCTTAACTTTCTCAGATCGCCTTAGGGTATTTAAGAGAAAGTCTGGGCGTTCTGGGGTCTGCATGGAGCCTTCCCTCTGGCAATGTTGTTCTCAACCTGGAACAAAGATGAGAATAGCCTGGAAAGAATGCTGCCATGTTAAGGGCCACCCACAGTTCTGTTATGGCCAGTCTCCATTCTTCATGCTGACACAGTGAAGAATTAGAGGTCAGCAAGGTGATTAATATGCAAGCAGGGTTTATAAGTGATACTTCTCAGGGAAGAGAACAGGCCTAGTGGAGATGGAAGAGGGAGAAAGAGGGAGGGAGGGAGAGAGACACCTAGGTGAGGTGGGAGAGAGAGGCCTAAGCAAGGTGTGAAAGGAGGAAAGAGAGAGAGGAAGAGAGGGAGAGAGAGCGCGCGCATGCGGGCAAGAAGGCGCTAGGGCCAGAGCCAGGCACTACTGTGGTTTTAGTGGTAAGGAATTGGAAAGAAGTTAAGATCTTACTATAGCTCTCTTAATGAATAGTTGAACAATACCAACAGATGGAAAATTATCTTGCATCCTGCATTCATTAACTGAATTGACCCAAGAGACAAAAGAAAGAAAATTGTGGAAAAACTTTTCTCTCCTCAGGGACTCCTTTTCAGTCCACCCAAATAAAATAGCATCCTGGTCATTATCCACAATCTGCTTTATTTTTCCTCATGTCATTTATCACTTCCTGACATTTATCACACATTTATTTGCTGTCCTCCCACTAGGGTGAAATCACCAGGAACACAATAACTTTGTTTTGTTCACTGCGTCTTCTCTTGGGCCTAGGCCAGTGTCTGGCACATAAGCAAGCAATCAGTAAAACATTCTGTTCCATAAATAAATGTATACACACAATTTGGTCAAATCTATCAGCTCTTTTCAAAGTTATTATAGAACAAGACATCAGTATGAAATACTAAGGCAATAAATTGAAACAGATTTTATAATTTGGATGACTTTACTATTTACAATGGTCTATTTGTTCCTTAATACATATGCCACAATTTGTAATTTTTCCTTTTAGTTTTTGTTCATTTGTTTTTGTCTATCTTTCCCACTGAACTCTTACAAATAGTGAGGGAAGGAAGCACATTTATTCACTACTGTGTTCCCTGGGCCTCATACAGTGGTTTGCCATGGTAAGTAGTCAATAAACATTTGCTGAGCAATTAAATACATGCCAAATATTTGGTAAATATTTCACGTCATGCTGGCTGAATATTACAGGAGTCTATTATTGTTTTAAGAAAGAAAGACTATGGTGATATGCCACATATGTAGGGGTACTATATAAACATCACACTATTATGTCTTATGTTTTATATTAGTTCTTCAATTTTTATCAAAGAATGTAATACTGAGCTCCTAGAATTTGTCAAAATGTTTTTATGGCTCTAAATAGGAACATGTCAAAATATTTTCCAAAATGCCATTTGAAGAGTAAATAGCTGGAAATATAAGGTGGTAAACACCTTATTTTGATAAATACAATCTACTTTAATTTCACTACATTAAAATGCTTTGATAAAACTGGAAAACACATTCTGCCTACTACTGGTCAAAAATGTAAAATAAAAATACACTAAATAATACAGAATCATTTTTATTTTACTTTTTAACTAAGAATTATATACACATGGAATGAGATGACTCACTGAGGTTATCACGGAACAATTTAAAATATGCCGGTTAGAACACCCCCTCTAAGTACTGTTTTTCTTCATACATGTCAAAACTCTTCACGCCCATCATTGGGCTGCGCCTACACCTGGTATAAGCTGGTTCCCTACCCTTTCTCACCAGTCTTTATCCTGCCATCAACGAATGCTACTCCACATATGCAGGGACTGAACCTTTGGCCTCAATACACGCTCTCTTCTGCTTATTTACAGGCAGCTCCATACTCAACGCGTGATGTTCTGACAAAGGAAATGGTTTGTATCTTTGGTCAATCACCACAGGGGCTTCTTTAAACTGGAAAATGGATTCACAGTCTTATTCTTAGCCAAAGATGAGAGCTATGTGAGCGTTGCCTAGTTGCACTGGGTGTTCATAAGCATTCCAAACAACCCAAACAGCCTGGGATGCAGAATATTGTACTTCCTGGAAGCATCAAGTATCCACACCAACCTTATATATCTGGATGTATCCTAGGAGTCCCAAATAAAGTGGACCCTCAGGCACTTGTTAAAAAAAGCTTTCAAAGTCTAATAGTTCATAATGTGACAGGCTTATTGAAAACCATAAAAATAAATATCCGCTAACATAAATAAATGATAGGAGTGGGTAGGATTTAGGGACAATTTTGACTCAATAATAAATACCTTTTTATTAGATGCTTTCCCTTCTAAAAGTAAAATACAAACCTTTGAAAGGAAAAAGAGCACTCTCTCTGAAGAGCTCCAGAGCACTGTGGCCAAGGTCATGCCATAGCCAAACGGTGGGGGAAGAGAAGGATGGACAACAGACACAACAGAAGACTCCCAATGCAAATGGGCCCGCTGAGTGAAGGAACTATAGCTTGGGGTGGGAGTGGGGGGTTTAAAATGTGTCCATGGATTTGGTTTTCTGGATTCACGTGTATAATTTAAAGCAGTTTATAATTCCTATCCTCCATCCTACAACCAACACTCCATCTCATCCCATCCTAGGGCCAAAGTGTCTAAAATGGGGTTAAAGTTCTGGAGATATGGCAAACTCATCTAAATAGAGTCCTACAAAAGATTTAACCTTACACCTCTGTGTGCCTCAGTTTCCTTATTTTGTAAAAGGGGGATAATAACACTTAACGTCCTTTTTGGGGTTGTTGAAAGAATGAGTTAAATAATATGTGTAAGTGCTTAAGGCAGTGCCTGGCTCATAGTATGTGCTCGATATTATTCTGACTTTTACAACATTACACTTACAAAGGTGACTTCCATCTCTCCATCTCCAATTATTATTATTATTATTTTTTTTGGTGCACCGTTCCCGAAAGTACTGCAATACCAGGTCGATGCATGGAGTGGACGGAGCAAGCTCCTATTATATCTCCCAGCTCCAAAAATCCATTTAATATATTGTCCTCGGATAGAGGATGTATCACATATTAAACTGATAGGAACAGATACTACACTTGATCTTAGCCAAAAGGCCGAGAAGCGATATCCCATCTCCAATTTTAACTTACTTCAACAAACTATGCCTTTCCAAAGTCAATCCTCCACAAAAAGCTCTTGCTCTCCTTCTCCTTAACCAATACCCTGCAGTACAAACTTTACCTTCCTTTTAAAAGATGGTACTGTATTCCCATTTTTTAATCATTTTCACTGGCACAAAGACGTCTGTGGATGAGAATGATGGAGGGTAGAAAGCACCGGGAGGGTGTTCTCTTCTCATCTCTGAATGAGAGGACTAAGAATTGTGAAGGGCG